TAAATAAAGACAAGTGCAAAGTACTACATTTAGGAAGGAAAAATCAAATGCCCAGCTACAAAAGGGGGAATAACTGGCCAGGTGATAGCTCTGCTGAAAAGGGTCTGGGGTTACAGTGGATCACAAATTGAACATGAGTGAACAATATGACGCAGTTGCAAAAAAAAGGCTCTCATCCTCCTGGGGGTGTATTAACAGGAGTGTTGTACGTAAGCCAAGGGAGGTAACTGTCCCGCTCTACTGAGCACTGGTGAGGCCCCAGCTGGAGTGCGGTGTCCAGTTCTGGGTGCTGCATGTTAGGGAAGATGTGGATCAATAGGAGGGAGTCCAAGAGGGAGCAACAAAAAATATCAAAGGTTTAGAAACCCTGACCTGTGAGGAAAGGTTAAAACACTGGGCATGTTTAGTCTTGACAAAAGAAACTGACCAAGGGTGGGTACCTGATAAGTTTCGTTATGTGAAGGGCTGTTCTAAAGAGGACTGATCAGTTGTTCTCCATGTCACTGAAGGCAGGACAAGAAGCAATGGGCTTCATCTGCAGCCCGGGAGATTGAGGTTGGATATTAGGAAAATCTTTCTAACTCTCAGGGTGGTTAATCTGTGGCACAGGCGTCCGGGGAGGTTGTGAAATCCCCGTCGTTGAAGGGTTTTATGAGCAGGTTGGACAAACACCTGCCAAGGAGGGTCCAGCTTTTCTTAGTCCTGCTTCAGTGCAAGGGCTGGGCGTGGTGACACGTTGAGGTGGTACAGCCCTTCGTTTCTGTAATGCAGGGATTACTTGCTCATACAGCCAAGGATCACGTTCGCCCTCCTGGTGACAGCATTCCGCTGGGTGCGCACGTTGGGCAGGCTTGTCAGGACCCCACGTCCTGGTCTGCGTCACTGCTTTCCGAGGTGCTGTCCCCCAGCCTGGCAGTGCGGCCTGTGCTCTGGGTTCCAGGCATGGGCCTAAGCCCACTTTACCATGTGATGCGGATCACTCTGCAGAACTGACCTGGCAGCAGTTACCACGCCAACAACTTTTGTCCTCTGCAAACTTAGAGCAACCGCTTTATCTTCAGCCAGATCACGGAGGATGATACTGACCAGCCTTTGGCCAAAACCAGACCCCTGCGGGACCCCCCTAGAAACAAGATGTATGTAAAGGGCAGGCCACCTCCTCACTGCCCCCTTATGGCCAGGGGTGGCTCTGCAGCACCCAGCCTCAGTTTCCCCTTCACAGGTTCCCAGGAATGCTCCATGGAGGCTTACATGCAATACCATCCCCCTTCCTTGGGGACTGGTTCATTAACAAAAAGCAAACCCAAAGGCAACTCTCTGCTCCACCAGCCTCCCCTGGGGCGCAGCACCTTCTCCCGGAGCTCTGGCAGCTCCCAGCCTCTCCATTCGGCCCAATTTTCAGCCCTTCCAGGTTCTGCTCGGTCTGTCCCTGTGAGCTCGGGGGTTGCACAGGCCTCCTGGCTGGGCCTGTTTTTCAACTTCCTCCAACAGCTTCCCCAGCTGCGTCGTTCAGGTGCCTTTTCAGCAGCTCTCAGTCATTCTTCCCCTTCCCTCCCTGGGCTGAGGGGTCCACAGACAGCACCCCTCCCCCGCTGCTGGCTCCCCTTCAGGGCCCAGGGGCTTCCCGTAAACCCAGTTGGGCACCAAGTAATCAGTCATGGGTGCACCAGCCCCGCTTCCTCTTAAAGGGGCTAGTCGCCCTGTGACAGCCTCTGGGGATGAAAATACCCCATTGGTAATTGCTTTTGGAATCTGTCAGCCAGTTTCTAGTCCATGTAATCTGTGCTTCGTTAGAAACTAGCACTATACAAACGCAATCAATTAATCTAGTTGTAATGTAATCGAGGCCTGTGGGACTACCGCTAAATGCCTGACAGAAATCTAACAGTCATGTCAAGTTATCTTTACTAACGATGGTTGTAATCTCAAAACAATACCAAGTTTGTTTGACAAGACCTGTTTTCTGTGAAACCACATGGATTGGCATTAGTTATGCTGCTCTCCTCTTTATTCTTTACTGATTGCATCCTGGAGCAGCTTTTCTATGATTTTGCCCAGGATCAACGTCAGACTAATTGGCCTATAGTTACCCGGCTCATCCCACTTACCCTTTTAGACTATTGGCACAACATACACTTTTTTCCCCTTCTCTGAGACTTACCCGTTGTCCAAGAATGATGAGATATTACCAATTACTCAGCCGCTCCTCAGCCAATTCTTTTACAACTCTTGAGTGCAAATTATCTGTTCTTGTCCCTTTAGAAATGTTTCACTGCGGCAGCGGCGGCTGCTCTCTGGCCTGGTCAGGACCAGGCTGACAGGCCCTGTGGCATCCTGGTGAATCCTGGGGTCCAAGGACACTGTCTAACCCAGCTCCTTCCAGTCCCCTCGCCTCCCTGGCTCCTTCGGTGAACCTTGAGAAGCAGAAGGGGGGTGGAGCTCATCCCATCCCCAAGCACACAGGATCCGGGGCTGCCAGCTACAAGCCTCCCATTTCTAGAATCTTTCAGCTTGTTGCCATGCCAACCCCAGCCCTTCCTGGGAGGCTGGCGAGCCCAGTGCCCCCTTCCCTTCACAATCCCCTTCTACAGACGGCTCCGTAGCCCGGGCTGAGCTGGGCTCGGTGCATTGGCCACCCTGGAGCATCAGCCTTGGTGTCTGGGGCAGGCATGGGACTCTGGCTGTGGAGGGGGGTGGAAACATGCACAGGAACGCAGCCCTTAAATGAGCAGGGGGGGAAGGGGGCCTGGGCTAATGGGGGGTGGTCGGTAGTGGGAGGGACCCAGCCAGAGGGAAGCCACATGGCTGTAGCCGGGAGCCGGCCTGGCCACCCTGAGCTGGGCGTGGGTGAGTCGCTATGGGAACCGCGGTGCGCCCGTCATGCTGAGGTCTGTCTGTCTGTCTGCAGGGGGCGCCATCGGCTGCTCGGCACAGCGATGGGAAGGAGCTGGGCTTGGTGCTCTTGGTTCGGACGGGGCTACCCAGCCTGGCCTGCGGCTCTGCAGATCCCTGCGGCGGACGAGCCGCTCCGGAGTGCCTGCCCCCCGGTCGTTCCTGCCTGGTGCCTGGGGAGCAGGGCAGGCCCTGACCCTCGCCCCTGAGCACCCCCGCCCCATGGACCTTGCCCCCCCGGCTCTGCCTCCCATCCGTCCCCAGCGCTTGGAGCGGGCGCCATGGCAACGGCTGCAGGCAGCGCGGGGGCAGCCCTAAGCGAGTGACGAGCCGCCGGCGCTGGCACCTGGGCACAGGCGATGGGCAGCGGGCGTGTGGTGCTCTGGGCCCTGCCTGCCTGCAGCTGAGGGGAGCCCCCGGCCCCCAGCCCAGCCACCATGGTGATGTCCCAGGGCACCTACACCTTCCTCACCTGCTTCGCCGGCTTCTGGCTCATCTGGGGCCTCATCGTGCTGCTCTGCTGCTTCTGCAGCTACCTGCGGCGCCGCCTGAAGAGCCAGCAGGAGGAGCGGCTGCGGGAGCAGAACCTGCGCGCGCTGGAGATGGAGCCGCTGCACTACGAGGGCTACTCGGGCAGCCCCCCCCGGCATGGCCATGGCCATCCCCCCCCGGCTGCGCATGGAGCCGCGCCACCCCCCCGGCCCGCCCCCCCGGCCCTGGAGCTACAGGCACGGTGAGGGCTGCTTGTGACCCACGGTGCCAATTCCCTAGGCCTGGCCCATCGCCGCCAGGGGCTTCCCAAGGCAGGGAGCGGCCGCCACTCACGCAGGCTCAGAGCCTGAGGCAGGGCCAGGCCGCTCAGCCGGCCACTCAGAGCCTCTCTGGCTACAGCAACCCCCATGCTGCCCCACTGGCCAGGCTAGCCGAACCCCGGCTGCCTGGCCGTGCTCGGTCCCAGAGCAGAGAGCCCTAGGGAGCCTGACCCCCGCCCCACTCAGCGCCTGCTGCAGGGCACCTGTGGGGCTGTCTGGGGCCTTGCACCCCTCATGGAGGCTGTGGTTCAGGCCCCATCTACACATGGAAGAAGGGGGAGAGCCTGGTGCGGCCCCTCACTCAGTGTGTGTCTGCTGCTTGCCTTGCAGAGTCGGACCTGTCCAAGCCCCCGTGCTACGAGGAGGCGCTGCTCATGGCTGAGCCGCCACCGCCCTACAGCGAGGTGCTCATGGACACGCGGGGGCTATACCGCAAGATCAACGCCCCCTTTCTGAGCCACGAGCGCCCCGAGAAACAGGAGCAGCCCCCCAGCTACAAGCCCCTCTTCCTGGACCGAGGTTACAGCGCAGCCCTGCACCTGCCCAGCTCTGCCAGCCAGGGCCCTGCCTTCTACCTGGAGGCCGAGCGTGCCCAGCGCATGTTCCCCAGCTGGATGGACTCCGAGCTCAGCAGCAGGGACACGTATGAACCTGGGGCCTGGCACCTCCCTGTCTCCATGCCCTTGTTTGGCAGGACTACGGCAGTTTAGGGGCCTGCCGGGCAGAGTGCCACACTGGGGCCTGCATGGACTGGGGCTGCAGCAGGGCCTGCCTGAGCCCAAGCTGCCCGTTCTCCTTGGGAGCCCGCCCTGGGCCCCACCTCAGGGCTAGTGCAAACCCTGCCTGGACAATGTGAAGCGCTGCCTGCTGCGGCCAGTGTGTGAGGGGCTGGTCCCCATCTCGCCCGTGGGCCCCTGCAGGTGCCCTTGGTGCTGACTGGGGCTCCGAGCAGGCCCTGCACTCGGCTCTTTCCTAGTTTGTTTGTTACAGTTTGAGAATAAAAGTTTGTGGCACCAGACTCATTCCAAGCAGGGCCAGGCTGCCTGGGTCGGGGGGAACTCGGGGCAGGCTCTACCCTGCCCTCCACAATGGGGCCTGGAGCATCCCTCTCAGCAGGTGAGCACAGCCCCACAGGGCTGGGCAGCTCAGCCTGGACCCACTCTCCCCCTGGGGTGCTCGTGGGCTGGCTCTGTCACAGCACAATGCCCAGAGCCCAGCTCCTGCAGCCAGGGTGCCTCCCCCATGCACTCGCTGCTGCTGCCCCTCCCCCAGAAAGCAGCCAGGCTCAGGCCAGGCCAGGGTGGAGGCGATTTATTTATTAACATACATTAGCACGTTGCCAATACACAATTTGTGCTTTCAAAAAAACCAGTTACTGTACTTGAGAAGGGGACCAAGCAAGGGGGGACAAAGCAGGGGGGGTGCGGGGGGCTGACAGTCTGGGGGGTCGCCCCATAGTCTCCTACTGAGATTGGCAGGGTCCTTGCAGCTGAGACAGCCTGGCACTAGCTCTCTCCCAGCCCCCACCCTAGGGGTGCGTAACACCTTCCCGGCGGGGGGCGGCTGCACAAGCACCTTGGGGCGCAGCTGAAGTGAGGGGGGCTGCAGCCAGCCAGAGCCGCACCCACACAGGGTCATTTTATTGCCATATTTATTTTTGATTCGTGCAAAGTTCTCAGGGCTCTGGGCAGAGCCGGCGGGGGAGAGGCGAACGAGGCCCCTGCCCCATGCACAGAGCACCAGCTGCCCAGCCTCCCTCAGGGCACCAGGGTCGGGGGAGCTGAGGGGCGCGCAGAAATATACAAGCTCAACGCAAAGAGGCAGGAGCAGCAGGGTGGGGGAGCAGGGAACTACGAGGGAAAGGGGGCGGGCGGACCCACATGGCTCCTAGTGAGACAACTTTTAAAAAAGAGAGAGAGAGAGAGAGAGGAAAGCTGTAAAAGTTGCCCTGCGGGGGCAGGGGTGCCTCGGGACTGGCCCGTCCAGCCGGGCCCAGGGGCACACGCAGACGGAGAGGGATGGGGCTGGGCCCCTCGCTGTGGCCGTCTTGCACTGCTGGGATCTCACGGTGGCGGTCCCGGGGGTCTGACGCGCACAGGGCCCAGCCTTAGACGCTGCCCCCAAAGCTCTCCTCGTCCTCAGGCACCGGGTCGGCATCCCAGCAGGTGATGTCGATCTCTGTGGGAGAGTCGGACGTGTTAGCACCGGGCAGCCCAGTGCCCCCCTCGAGGGGGAGCAAAGCAGGGCTCTGGGCTGCCCCCCACATGCCCAGGGCTGCCCCACTCACCGGGGGGCTTGGCGTAGAACACAGCAGGAGGAGTTTTGGCAGACGTCTCCACCTGGCCGAACTCTTCGTCCTGCGACTGGCTGAAGTAGCCCTCGCTGGCCTGGAAAGGAGAACGGAGCCGCCATCATCAGCAGCCACGGAGGAACCCAGAGCAGAGCGAGCGGCCAGCAGGGACAGTGGTTCCAGCTGGCCCTTTACCACCTGGCCACGGCCCAGGGCTTGCGGCTCCAGGACACCCCTCCCGCTGCCACTGCTGCAGGCTCAAGCTGGGCTCTGTACCCAGGAAGGCCCAGGAGCCGGATCCCACCTGCCAAGGGGTCCACAGGGCCAGGAGGGCAGAGCCAGGGCCGCAGTGGGTATGGGGCAGGCGCCCCAGGGAGCCTCTTGCCTGGCCAGGTTGGGGGAAAGGGCACCAGGTGCAACAGCGCCCAGCTCACCTGCACCCCTTCCTTCTGGGCCATCTCTCCGTTGGTCAGCAGCTGGGGCTCGGGGTCCTGCTGCCCGCCAGCCGCCTCCTGCAGGGCATGCTGGTAGCTGAGCGTCATCTGGTGCGGCCCCTCCATGGCAATGAGGCTGGCCGGCTCCTCGTCCTGCTCCGCGTCGCAGAAGGTGGCCGGTGGCTCGGGCAGCTCGTCGAAGTTCAGCAGGTTGTCGTCAGGGGGGGCGGGGGCCGCGGGGGTGGCTGGGGGCACGTCCACCTCCACCAGGAGGGGCGCAGGGGGCCCCGACGGCGCAGGTGTGGCCAGCTCCCAGGCAGCGGGCGGGGTGGTGCTGTCGTTCTGCCACAGGTCGATAAGGCTCTCGGGGCTGGGGCCGGGGGGCTGCGCGGGGCCCGAGGACTCGCCCTCTGCGGGCAGCACGGCCACGGGGAACAGCAGCGGCTCTCTGGGCTCCAGGAACACAAGGTCCTCGGTGGGGCCCAGCCCGCCCCCCTGCTCTGCTGTCCACTCAGGGCCCCCAGGCAGCTCGTCTGCCATCAGCGGCGCTGGCGCCTCGCTGCTGGGTCCGGGCGAGTCTGCACGGAGGGGGAGAGAGCGCATCAGAGTCCAGCCCCTGCTCCCGCCTGCCCTCCGGGGAGGGGCCCCCTGGGCTCCCCTGCACCCCACCTTTCCACGGGGCCTGCTGCGTCACTTCGTCCAGAGCCCTCTCGATCTGCTCCCCGACGGGTGTGGAGGCCGGGCTGGAGTCACAGGGGCTGCAGCCCACGGCCGAGGCCTTTCTGTGAGCGTCCGACTGGCTGCCTGCGAACGAGCGAGACGGAAGCTGAAGGGGCCCCAGGCCGACCCCTCGCCAGCCAGGGCGTTGGCACGGGTGCAAATAAGCAGGCCCCTCGTTTGCAAATTAATATGCATCACCTCGTTTGCACGCATAGCCCCTCCCACCGTCAGCCCATCCTGGAGTTTCCTTCTCCAGCCAAGAGTCCTGGGGGCGGCTCCTCCCTCCGCCCACTGGGGCATGCAGCAGGGTTAAGGCCGGAGGCCTGCCAGCAGGACACTCCAGCCAGGCGGCTGGGGGCCCCAGGGCCAGCCCTGGGGGTTCACAAACACGAGCGGGGTTGCTCCCCCATGCCCCAAGGCTCTCCCCACAGCCGGCCCGCCCCACCCAGCCAGACAGGAATTCAGGCCCCAGGCCTACAGTCACACCCCCGCCGGAGCTAGACACCCCATGGGAACTGGGCCCAGCGCCTAGCACGTGCCAGGCCATGGAGCCCCCTCCCCTTCAGCCAGGCCACGGGGGCAGCACTGCAGCGGGAGCAGGCCCCCTGACGGGACGGGGACAATCCTGCGCCCACCTGACCCAGTCGCCACTTTGCCACTTTAGGGAGAAATTTCACATATTTATTCTACTGAAGCCAGCCCCTCGGCACACCTCAGCCCCCCAGCACGCCCCAGTCCCACAGCATACCCCCGCCCCCCCAGCACGCCCCAGCCCCCCAGCACGCCCCGGTCCCGCAGCATACCCCTGCCCCCCAGCACGCCCCAGCCAGCCCCGGTCCCCCTGGCACGCCCCCTAGTATGCCCCAGCCCCCCAGCACGCCCTGGTCCCCCAGCACGCCCCAGCCCCCCAGCACACCCCAGCCCCCTGGCCAGCCCCCCAGCACACTCTGGTCCCCCGGCACACCCCGGTCTCCCTGGCCCCCCAGCACCTCTGACCCCCCCCGGCACGCCCCAGCTGGTGTCTGTGAAAAAGGAGGTTCCTGGCTCTCCCGTTTGGTCCCCACAGCTGCTTTCTCCTCCCATCTCCCTGGCCAAACCTCTAGTGCCCTGCAGCTGCCACCTCCCTCTGCAGAGACCAGGTGCAGGGGGGCTGTGGGGGGGGCAGGATGGGGCCTCCCCAATGCGCTCTCCCCCCAGCAGGGTGGGGCCTGGGCACTCGCCCGGACACTGCTACCTACATGGGAAGAAGGAGGAGAGGTTTGGTGTGCGGTGGCAGGTGACATAGGGGAAGGGGGTCCGCGGGGGGGAGGAAGAGGAGGAGGAGGAGGAAGGCGGCCCACTGTCAGGTGTCTTTATGAAAGGACAGTGCAGACGACCTGCTGAGAGAAAGACAGACAGACGCACGGAGACAGAGAAAGCAAAGAGAACGGTCAGTCTCCCAGCTCTAGCGCCCAGCCCCCCTCCAGTGGCACCGTGAACGGGGAGGAGCAGTGTGGGTGGGGGCCGCACCCCGGGGGGCTCAGCTCAAGGGCATTGAGGGGACGGGGGGAAGCAGGGACGGGGGGGAAGCAGGGACGGGGGGGGAGGAGAAGCAGGGACGGAGGGAGGGAGGGATGGACGCTGCACTTCTCTCTTGACCCCATCAGCCCCAGCTCCCTGTGGTCAGTAGCACAACCCTGCATGGCAGGGACGGGACAGGACGCTGTGCCCAGCCACCAGCCCCATGTCCCCGGGAGCTCCAGGCAGAAGGGGGCAGTGACTAGCCCGGCCTGGCAGCTCCGGATAGACACGTCCCCTTGTCCTGCCCTGAGGAAACCCCCAGGAGCGGGCGCATCTCCAGCCCTGGAGCCCAGCAGCAGGTCAGAAAGACCCCCCCAGGAGTCACAGCCCAAGCCCAGCCCAGCTCTGGGCAACGTGGACTCCCCACACCCTTCCCCATCTGCTCAGACCTCGCCCAGGGCAGCGCTGCCCACCCCCAATTCCCCACTTAGCGTGGGTGGCCAACGTTCTACGGTCTGAAAACCGGAACCCCGGCCCCACCTCTTCCCCAGGCCCACCACTGCTCTGCCTCTTTCCCCAAGGCCCCACCTTTTCCCCCAGGCCCCGCCCCTGCTCTGCCTCTCCCCTAGAGATCCCACCCCCCTTGGCTGCTCTCCCCCCTCAACTCCAGCGTGAGCAACCCCAAAGGACTTGCAAAGTCCAGCGCCAGCAGGCCGCCAGGGAGTGCAGGTCACAAGAGCGCTGCAGCCACACTGGAGCAGCCAGGCAACCCCGCTGGGGAGCTAGGCATGGCCCTCCTGCCTGGCAGCCCCCCACCGGCCCTCCTGCCTGGCAGCCCCCTTCCCTCCCCATCCTGGAGCTGCCTGAGAGCGTGGCCAGGAGCAGCACCGGCTGGCAGGGCAGCTTCCGACACTTCCCTCCCACGCCCTTGGGAGCCCCTCACCCGCTGTGGGCCCCCCACTCTGTCCTCCGCCGCAGCCCTGCAAACCGTGCTCCTCAAAGGGGCTGCCATGGCCCGAGCCGGTGCATGGGTCCGGGCTGGGCGACAGGCTGCCACTTCCCCCCGCCCACAGTAACCAGACTCCTAATGTCCAGTCAGGACATCCAACCGGACACCTGGGAACCTTACTCCTAGCCCAG